TCTATCTATCTATCCGTGTTCCTCTATCTCCCAGTCCATGCCCCATAGCCCTGCTCACGAGGAAGGGGTTTCGAGTTGTGGGGACACATTCATCCACCTTTTACTGTACCCCCCCAAGTGCAGCCCCCCCAGTCCCCTTCTAACCACCTTTGACTCAACAGCTGATTTCGGTCTCTCTCTAGATCAATTTTTTCGGGGGAAAAAGATTGTATTTTGCTTAAATATATTGATCTCTCTCTATTTTCTTAATAAAATGTTTTGGTTTTTGGTTGGTGTTTTTTTCCTTTTTTTTAAAAGCAAAAACAAACCAAAAAAAAATCTCTTTTTCTTTTTGATCTTTTCTCTTTCTGTCTTTTTTTTTCCCCCTTCCCAATTTTTCTTTTTTCTTGGTCTTAGGTCCACTCACAAAAAAACGTGACGAAGCCACCGGAAACAGTCCCTCCGGAGACGAAGGTATTTTTGGCTGCATGTTTCACATTTCTTGCTGGTTTTTTTTTCTTCCCCTTTTTTCTTTCTTTCTTTCTTTCTTTCCGTCCTTCTTTTTCTTCCCAAACAACCAACCTTAACAATAACTTTTTTTCGGTGGTTATTTTTTTTTATCGGGGGTCGTCTCTTTTTCACCCAAACCTGCTTCTTTCACCTTAAAACTAAATAAATAAATCGGTGCCAAGCAAGCCCTGCCAAAAAACAAACCACAATTGCTACATTTTCTTTTTGCCCCATTTCTTGAGCTTTTGAACCTCTTTTTTGGAAAAGAAACCAAACGAAAAACACCGCCCAGTGGAAGAATATGGGGGGGGTGTTGTAAAGCTGAGTGGGGGAGGTGACGGGTGGGGAAGATTGGGGGGGATCTGTACGTGTACCCTGAAAATTACCCCTCTTGTTTTCTCCCGTCCTGCCCCTCAAACAAAACTTTTCTATCAATGGGCCCATCTACCCTGGTATCTGGCCTGCTTCCAGACACCCGAGATCAGGGGAGATTGGGGGCAAATGGGGGATATGGGATACAGACCTGGGCAGATTGGGGGGGGGGCTGTGGCGGCACGGAGCCCCCCCTCCCCATGGCCACCCCCACCCACAACCTCCACCCTGATCGCTCTGTCATTTCCATCCCCTGCCACCAGGGGGCGTGTATGTTTGGGGGGAGAGGGGCTTAGCCAGTGTCGGGGGTTACTTGTGGGGAAGGTTTAGGGAGGTCGGGGCGAATTTGGGGGAAAGGTTCGGGGGGGTCAGGGGATGGGGTTGGTGTGTGGGGCTGGAAAGGCAAGTGTGAGCACAGGCGAGGGTGCGAGGCGAGGGTGAGAATGCACGGTGAGGAGTGACTGGGTGTGTGTGGCTGGCTGTCCCCAGAGATGCGTGGCTGTTACGTCGAGACAGCTCAGCCAGTGTGTGTGTGTGTGTGTGTGTGTTTGTGCCAGGCTAGGCGTGTCTGTGGGTGGAAGGGGGTGGTGGGTGTGTCCGGGTGGGTGAATGTCTCTGCACAGCCAACGTGTGTGGACATAAATGGGGAGTCGGTAAGTTTGTAAAAAGGTGTGAAGAGGTGTGTGTGCAGGGTGGGTGTGCAAGTGGGGGTGTTGTTTGGATGCCTCCGTTGGTGGCTGGATAAGCTGGTGTGTATGTGTGAAGCCAGACTCTGTGTGTGTGTGTGTGTGTGTGTGTGTGTGTGTGTGTGTGTGTGTGTGTGTGTGTGAGAGAGAGAGACCGTGG